GGGGAGTGGGCACGTGGCAGTGTTCCGTCTGTTCTGCTGTCCTCTGGGAGGGGTCCTTGCCCGCTGAGCAGTCCTGGTGGCACTGCAGGACCACCAGCTGCTCCACCAGAGCCACCAGCTGCTCCCATGAAGACCGACGTACAGTCTAGGAACACGCTGGAAGGTCACACTGTGCGTCCGAGTCAACTTGCTGGCAGTGGGCTGGGGGTTTCAGTGGGATTGCATTGAGCTCACCCACACACGCCGACAGGCTTGTGGTCAGGCCTGCCCAGCCCCTTTCCTGGCTGGGTAAACTGGCGTGCACACAGACCGGTGGCATCAGGGGTGCAGACATGATTCAACTCCCCATGGGCCCTTGTGCTCCAACCAAGCAGAGTCTCTCTCGGTCACTTACAACCCAGAGCTAACCGATGTGTAACCCCTCAACCCTCCGTCCCCCCGGCCCTGCAGTCGAGTGAAAAATGGACATGGTTGCTGGCCCTTGGCCATACAGGAAAGGTACATGTGACAGCTCTCCAGGGGATGGCTCCGTGTGCTCAGGTTCCTGAGGTTAGTGATGTGTCCCATGGGATAAAGCACGCACCCCGAGAAAGGTTGCCCCGGGATCATCTGGCTCATGCTCTTGACCCTGGTGTATCTGGTTCTCTCGACAGGACACGGAAATCCTGAACACGGCCATCCTGACAGGCAAGACGGTGGCCCTGCCCACCAAGGTGATCTCCGTGGAAGAGAACGGCAGCGTGACAGACATCTCTGAGTTGGTGGAGTGCAAAGCCCCCGACGAGGACGTCATCAAGGTAGATGCCTCCTGCGGCCAGCAGGCCGCCCTGCTGGGGACCCCCCAGCCCCACCGCCTGGTGATCCAACTGTGTGCTACGAATAACCCCCTCTCGGTCCCGTCACTACACTTTCCACCTCCCTGTCCTGTGGAATTGCTCTGACTTCATGCCAACCTAGCCCTTGTCCGTGTGCTGTTGGGTCCATTTCCACTCCCAGTGGCCCAAGTAAAACAGCATGAAACACTGCCCGTGTGGTGCCAACCTCACAGTCACTGTGTGCTCGGGCACCTCGTGGCTAACGCTGTGCCAACCCGTTCCTGCTGCCCTTGTGATCCCGTGCCTCCATAAGAGAAATGCCCCCAGCGAGGCTGTACGGGGCTGTAGCACTCCGGAATGTACTCTCTTAACATGCGGGAGGTCAGATGCCCGGCCCCAGGGGAAGGCTTGCTCTCTCTGGTGGCTCTGCGGGGTGCTCCTGGGCATCAGTCTTCCCCTGGGTCTAGGAGGTTCTCAGCCCTGGGGCCCCAGGTCTAAGGGATGCACTCTGTTCCTAGCTCTTCCTTTATGCTGGTATGAGGTCCCCCCCTCTGCTGGATCCTCTCTCTTTTGATCTTTCGTAAGATGAAGGGTGATGCTGGGCACACGTCAGAGAGACTTTGCTCACGTCAAATCAGGTTGAGATCTGAGTGAGGGTGTTGCATCCCACCCAAATCCCCTTACACCTGTTCTCACCATTGAGGATGACTGCACCATTAGTTAACTGCCAAACTGCATCATTGCAGAACTGCCAAACATATTCAGGGATGAGGTCACTCGGTTCAATCCAGGGTGCCAACTAGCTTTAGTTAGTAATTCACTGGACTGGGGCCAAACCCCAAATACCTAACGCTACAAGGCGGGTGATGTCCACAGGCGAAGTGGGCATGGAGATCTCTGCCCACCACTGAAGCACTTCTGCTTGGATCACATGGCACCTAACCCAGAGGTTTGCACAGAAACCGGCTGGGCCTGAGGGAGGAGGGCTGGCACGATGTTCGCATCACACTGTCCTATGGGGCGTCCTCCACACCTCATGGGCAATTTTATATCCCCTTGTGACCCCATGCACACAAGCAGACAAACAAAAGCAAAAAGACCCATGTATAATTAATTTCAATGATCTTTTATTTCAAACCAAAGCATCAAGACCATTGCCTCTGCAACACGAGGTCAACATGGACACTTTGTTCCAGTCTGTCTGTGGTACCTGGGGTTTGCCCTTGCACACACAGGGCCAGCCACTGCCCTGCACACATGGGTCAAGCTCACGGGCTCCTGAGACTCGGCAGGGCTGGCCCTTTGGGCTAGCTGACCTGTGGTCCTAGGGCTGTCCCAGGCCTGTAGGATGCTTGGCAGCATCCGTAACTTCTGTCTGCCCCACAGATGCTGGTAGCACCCCACCCACCCATGAAAGTCATGCAATAGACACCAGACTCCCCTGGGGAAGCGGGTTCGTAGAGTGCAGACTGGTCCAGAAGCTACGGGGTGACGTGGCTGCAATCCTTGGTGGGGCAGCCTGTGCCCCGAGGTACACCTTCCAGACTCCTTGGCGCTTTAGGCGTGGGGTGGTCAGGCCCTCTGTCTGCTCTCAGCCGGAGTGTTCCTCAGCGTACACCCGCAGTCTTGTTTCTTTGATGGGATGTCCTTTGTAGGAGGGTGTTCTCCATGCAGGTTCCTCGGATATCTCTGTCCCACCAAATCCAGGTCTGGTCCTCAGAAGGATGATAGAAACCATGTGTGCTGTGTGTGTGTGTGTGTGTGTGTGTGTGTGTGTGTGTGTGTGTGTGGCGCGCGCACTTGTTACCACACTGTAATCAATCATTCTGGGGGTCCATTTCCCTTCCTGATTATATTTACAAAGTATACTGATGAGATTGTCTCCTCTCACCTGTAAATATTTGTTTTGCCAGTTCCATTTTAATTTTCTTTTTTTAATTACATAATTAACATATAGAAACAGAGTAATAAAAACAAATCAAATCATGCCATCTCTTTTCTCCCAGACATCATCATTATTACCATTTTGGGGAACATTATTTTTGGGTCTCTTTCAAATGCTGGTTCCCAGCCGTGGGTGCATGTTAGATCCACTTACAGAGCTTTGAACAATGCCATACCCCACACCAGCTAAATCACATTTGCGGGCATTGGGACCCACCACTTGTTTTTCCACCAGCTTCATTGGCATGTAACCCCTGTCATGCGGCTCAGTGGTTCAGTCGCGTCAAGAAGAGCTGCCTCATTGGCATGTAGCCCCTGTCATGCGGCTCAGTGGTTCAGCCGCGTCAAGAAGATGCCTCAGGATCGCCACACTCAGTGCTGGCACTTGTTCCTCGTCCTTGTCCTCCTCGCTATTGGCTCCCCACTCCCCCACCTCCCTGCCACGCCCCCAGGAGCCAGTCCTCCAGTTACTGTCATCCATGGGTTTCCCTATCCCGGATTTTCACATAGATAAAAATGTGTACACACAAAAGACCCAACAGGAAAAGCAAAGTAAAACTGACAAAAATCTCAATAGAAAAGAAAGCAGAAAATATTTTTAAAAACTAGAGCAAATTTCAGTGGATCCTAAGGGAGATCAACTGATAGGGTGCTAGATTTTAACATCACAGCCGCGGCGTCCACCCACTTTCCAGTGCATTCTGCATGCCAACAAGGCCCTTCACATTGCTCCCCCTGTAAACACGCACAGTCTCAAACCCCCACGGGCATTCCTGCTCTTTAACAGAGCCACTGTGGAGCAGAACTGGTGCCACGGCACCAGATTTGGTTTTTTATTGGTGGTGCTATGGGATAGATATGTGGTTCCTACTTGCAAGGCCAGCAGTTCAAACCCACCAGGCATCTTATGGAAGAGCAATGAGGCAGTCTGGTTCTATAAAGATGTGCAGCTTCGGGAACTATAGGAGGAGTTCATTCCTGGCCTGGAGGGTGTCTGGGAACTAGATTCAACTTGATTGTAATGTGAAGGGTCTTCTTTCTGTTGGGAAATCTATACACATGCATGGATATACATATATCAAGCCAAGGTTCACCCGCCATGACCCACTTTGCAGAAATGGGGTCATTTGAGCATTTCTGGCTCTCCGTCTCCCTGTGCGATCCATTAGGAACATGCACTATCAGCAGGTATCTGTAGAATGAGTCTGGGCACACACGCTGCATGTCTGGTCTGCAGCATGTTCCCAGCTGAGGTTAATTGGAGTCATGGAATCTGGGTGGGAGAGGCTTTAGAACCCGAATATCTGTAAGGATTGGGTAGGATGATGGGCAGGGGCTCAGCCCATGAGGAAAGAGTGAGTGATGGGCAGTGGCTCAGTCAATGGGGAGAGAGAGGGTGATGGGCAGTGGCTCAGTCAATGGGAAGAGAGAGGGTGATGGGCAGTGGCTCAGTAAATGGGGAGAGAGAGGGTGATGGGCAGTGGCTCAATCAATGGGAAGAGAGAGGGTGATGGGCAGTGGCTCAGTCAATAGGAGAGAGGGTGATGGGCAGTGGTTCAGTCAATGGGAAGAGAGAGGGTGATGGGCAGTGGCTCAGTCAATAGGAGAGAGGGTAATGGGCAGTGGCTCAGTCAATGGAGAGAGAGAGGGTTGTCAGGGTACCAGCCCTAACACATCATCACGGATCCGGTAGGCGCAATTATGCAGCAATAATAAGTAAAAATTATAGCTAAGTCATAGAGCATGAGAGATAGAAGAGAGATTGGAATAATGGAGTCAGGCTCATCTCATAGTAGCAATGCTCACCTCAGCCTCATTTGGTGGTCCACCTGGAGAGAGAGAGAGATTTATTGCTAACCAGAGCTTTCATATTCTCTGGGGACATGCAAGCTGCCTAATTACAGGTAAAGACATACGTCACAGGAAAGGGTTGTGCTATAGTAATACAGTAATGAGAAGGAGATGATCTAGGGCTATCCACGTAATAGGAAGGGGGAGGTATTGGGGGCACACATGTGATAAGATGGGCGGATCCTAGATTCAAGATAGCAGCCTAACTTTGGATGTCACTGAGCTGGTTTGGCCTGTTCTCTGACTCACTATAGAAGCCATTATCAGTACGGTGTAAAACTCCACCTACAGGCACTAAATGATGACTGTAAGCCTTTAGGGAGAAGTAGCCCATTCCCTTTACCAGGAGGCAGTGGGCCCTACCAGTCCAAACAGTTGTTTGGCAACTGACTGCCTTCCGGGAGATAACTTGACCATCATTTACCATTAGCTGCAAGCAGTGTTCTAAGTCTAACATATTTGGGAGAGACAACTTGAGAGAAATCTTTCTGTTTCCCACAGAGGGTGATGAGCAGTGGCTTAGTCAATGGAAGGAAAGAGAGGGTGATGGGCAGGGGCTCAGTCCATGGAAGGAGAGAGAGGGTGATGGGCAGGGGCTCAGTCCATGGAAGGAGAGAGAGGGTGATGGGCAGGGGCTCAGTCAATGGAAGGAGAGAGAGGGTGATGGGCAGGGGCTCAGTCCATGGAAGGAGAGAGAGGGTGATGGGC